TAGGTACTCTTAGGGCCAGCCGATGACCCACAAATACATTGATAAAACTAGAAATAATGGTGAAAAAAATTGCACTTGTTTAAAAACTCAATAGCAAAATTCTATGACGCAAGGTCCAGGGCATACTTCCCGCGATTTAGAACGCCACGAAATTTTGCTGTACACTAAAATGCGTGCACGATGAGTTATAATTAATTGGAATCCTGGCAAATCGCGTCGCGACAGAAATCGCGTGAAGTACGCCCAGGCCTAAAAAATCATGGAAATCCGGCGTACCTGTTCAGCAGTAATGTTTGCTCCCACCATACTGTTCAATATCACCTTGAATTCTTCACGTGTAATGTATCCATTTTTGTTTAAGTCGTACATTTGGAATGCGACTGAAAAAAAAACAAAATTAACACATTCACGACAATACGTACCACCGGTGGTCGTACGCTTTCTGAGGTTTCTAATTTTATTAGTCTACGATCAAACTTTTTGGGCAAACTGAATAAACTTCTGTATACATCTCTTGGAATATCTTCTCAAAAGATTTGTACTTCAGACCATAGGATCTATCAAAGGCCAGAAAATATTACGCAAACTCAATATATTGCGAAATATGCTCTGGTCCGAAATGGCAGTCATTGAAAAATCGGCGCTGTCGTGAATGTGTTAAATTTCCTGATGTTTGAAAGGGGCACCGTTCAACCGCCATAAACGAGCGCCTATCGCCCGATCGGGTAGAACAGCGCCCGATCAAACATCGGGATACTGATAAATCTTCTCTAGAAGACAGCAGGTAGATCTCTGTAGCTCATGTGTATCACTTATATAATCAAATCTTCAAATTAGCGTGACTGGTCAGTCACCAACACAAGACAATAGAGATTCGATACACACATCACCCAGTGGACGTTATCGCCAATGACAAACCCAGTTATAGATATAGTTGAAAAGGAAACCAACTCACACTTCAGTTTTTCTTTTCTTCCATTTAGTGCGTTCTTTTTCGATCGGTTTATAGGCTGGAAATGCGCTAGAATTCGAACGAATTGGCGGAAATTCAGCTGTTGTTCATTCTCGCCACTGGAATATAAAATGTCAACAATAGAAAGTGCATCAATGATCACACACAAATTTTTCAGAAATTCGTGCAAACACCCTTGACAGGATGATTTATATGCATTAGTCACCAAATGTCATGTTTCTTAGAACCAAATAACTGGCAAAGTGGAAAAAACTTGTTTCGAGCGGGCGAACATGCATCATCGTCTATGTCGTCTAGGAGGCAAGAAAAATTCTGGCATACGACCACGAAAACACTTCTGCACGCATTAGTAGCCCCCTCCCCCTCCCACCACCCCAAATTGAAGCAAAAAAAAATCACAAAGAAAAACAACTCACGCTAAAGTAAAGAAAGCATCTACGATACGATCGCCTAAAGGATTAACTGCCAACTCTGGAACATTCAAGAAGTCGTCGCGCGATAGGAATCCTTGACCTGCAAGAGGGAAGATTTGAAAGTTCAAAACTTTGCACTATGGACTTTCGACCGAACAGGCGCTGCTTACCTTTCTTATCGAGCGACAAGAAGCGACTGTACAAGCGAACAATTTGATTTCTGTTGACTGAAAAATTAAAAAATTCAGGTAAAATATTCAACTGAGAAGGA